CATCGTTGCCCAGTTCCTCGGGCGGTTTGTATTCACCACCTAAACCAACTGTGAATGATGCGTATCCAGAGGAGACTCGGTGCCATTCTCAATCTCACTCAACTTGAATGACTCGAATCGGAAATTCCTACCAGTAACAAGGCCGTGATTTTTCATAAAGTTCAGGCCTTCAGGCACGGAGCCAAACATACACCCATTCGATCTGAAGATGAAGTTTATTCTATCTATTTATCATCGCTCGTGGCTCAATGCATATCTCTCACTTCGGACATCCGTTAGCACGATTGCAGCATGAAGTCAGATAACCGAGAGATAGAATATCCGTGATTCTACCGCCGGACTTGATGCATACACGATCGTTGAACATTCCGACGGCAGCACTTGCCCAGCAATTGTTACATTCGCCTTGTTCCCTGAGCGATGAATTTCCACTGATGAGTTATCATAACAGCAGTAGGGAGAACTACCTCACATGGCCGATGACATCAGCACAGGAAGCAAACTTCTGCCGAGCGTCGAAGCTACTTGGTAAAGTCGTCAACACCGGGTTTGTGGGTCCGAGAAGGCGATTTTCGCCACCTTCGTCCAGAGTCGAAGAGAACATCGTATCATTCGAGCATCCAGCAGGGAGGTCTTTGATTGACATACCTGTCGAGAAGTGACACTGATCCCTGAGTTTGAGACTCGGAGAGGTATTCACGTAAGTTCATGACGTACCCTTGAAAGGGGGCTGATCTTTCGACGCAGTCCACGACTGTTGCATCGAGTTGATCTTGTCAACCATGGATTGCAATAAAGCTGGCTTGGTGTTGTTGAAGGATTCAGTGAGGTATTCAATTGATACGTCTTCATGTAGAATCTTCTCTTCGAGCTCATTTGTGAAGCGGGAAAAATGTTGTGAGTCTTCATCTGGGGTATAGACGGATCCTGGACAAATGACAACAGCGTTAAAAAGAGGAGACGTGTTGAGTGTTCCTACGACTCTGTTGCTTGATCTTGTCGAATACGCCTCGGAGATTGGAGATATCACCCCGAATTTGAGACATCAGGACGCACAGCGAGAGAAGTAGGAAGGATTTACTCATATTGAGAACGGAGTGATATTACAGCTGCTAGAAAACAGTTCATAATGACCCTATAACCGTCTATGTAGTTATCCTCGGAGGAGAATCT